AATACCACATGTTCCCTCATCTGATGAGCAACTTCAACATGAAAATCATTTGTTTTACTCATTTGTGATAAAAACACAGTGGGGGAACGTATGGTAACGTATTCCTTTAAAATACATTAAAAAAGGAACGGACTGAGACGCATTTAATGCACCTGCTCCACTCATTTAATGTCTCTGTACACTTTGCAGGAAATATGGATATAAAGTCTTCTAAAAGCAGAGGCGGTGCACCACTCAAGCACCAGGAGAAGTGAAGAGCAGAGAATCAAGAGTTCTCGTTGGCCAAAGAAGAAAGCAAGGCATAGGGGGACTACAGAAAACAGCTAATCATCGACAAATCATGCCCCATCCGGCAATTTGCACAGCTTCTACACTCTATTGCCACCGCCCCGTCCCTTCACGCAAGAACCCAGCTCTAAAGGATTTACAAGACTGCCACTCCTTTTCTACCAATAAAAAGGACGTCCCACACACAAAAACATCATCGAATCCTGGAGGAATTGAAGTCCTAAGGGAAGAGATCACCTAGTAGTATTAGTAGCTTAGTTTTATTTTATTTAAGTTGTAACTGTAATTAAGTGACAACCCCCCTTCTCTTCTCTGTATCAACCCCTAAGACTCCTCACGAGCATCAAACCATCCTTCTCCAGTTTCTATTTCTGTGTAAACTGTCTTTTAATTTAATATAAGTGTTTTTCTCTTCATTCCATTCATTATCTCTAAACTGAATCTCGGGTCTAAGGGATTTCAGTTCGGAATAATTCTGTTTAAAATATCAGCCATGAGCTGAACTATCTGTGGGACAGATAAACTGCAACATTCTTAAAGAATTATTTTCGAAACTTTTGACTGAAGCTTTTTGTATTTCTTTGGCTAAGTAAGCTATATTCATTGTGTATTAATGGAAATTGAACACATACTGAGAAAGGAACTTCCATAAGGAAGGGATTTCAGATAGCTTAGCCATTGGGGGCAGGTAGTGTCATGGCAAAAACACTATTGGTCACCTTAGGAGTAAGGGGTCGCTTCGTCCACTTTAAGGTTCTGTACTGAGTACCTGTTGGAGTCAAGGGAGCCGTAGGAATATCGAAACTTGTGAGCCATCTAGTCCACGAGCTGAGGAATCAGAGTTGACAGATAAGAAACTGGGACAAAGCCAAAAAGTGCTAGGTCTTGAGCAAAGAAAATAACTATTTAAGAGTGGAGCAGTGAAACCGTTCCATCTGTTAAACTGTTTTAAAACCATCACCCTGTTGTCTCTTGATTATAGTTATTTCTGATTAGTAGTTTTACTTTATTTAATCTTGTATCTATCAAACTCCAATGCGTATTATCTCACCTTCTTCTAAACAGGAAGGACCACATACATAACGCAACGAGTAATTGTTTGCCATCAGATTGAACTTACTGTTCCTGAGGAACGTTATCAAGACAGTAGGGAACGTTTGACCAGATAGTTCATTTACTAACTTTTCTTCTCATTTTCATTCTTTACAAAACAATGTAAGACAATATTCAGAGTTCTATCCTCGTGGGAACAATAATCTGGGCAGTAATACACCCAATATTACTTGATGCGTGCACTTGCGCACTTGGGTTGAAAGTGAGGGAACGAATCTGTGTTCTATAAGAACAGAGGAACGTCCCCTATCAGACCTTATATTTTTCCACCATCAGCAAACCACCCAACAATGAGCTCAACGCCTTCTTCAGGGCGGCTATCCTCGATTTGTCTTTCCCTACAATAAGCACATCGTCAACATATAACAACAAAATCAAAACATCTTCGGCCTCATACCTCTACAAATACGCACTGGTCGGCCTCTGTCTTCTCAAACTTGTGATCAATCATGAATGATTCAAACTTCTTGTACCACTGTCGAGGTGCTTGTTTCAAGCCATAGAGGCTATTTTTCAACCGACATATCAAGTCTTCTTGGTCTGGAGCTCAGAACCCCTCAGGTTGCTCCATATATATCTCTTCTTCTAAATCACCGTGAAGAAATATCATCTTCACATCCATTTGTCTACCTCAAGGTCCATCGAAGCCGCCATGGCTAAGTTATAATTTTTTTCCTCAATAAATTTTATGAGCTCATTCATCATAAAATATCATTCTAAGACATATTTATCTAATACATAATTTCAATTTGAGGTCCCCAACCACCTCAATCACACAGCACATAGCTTAGGTTTTCCAAAATCAAATCACAACATTCATCTAATAATAAATGTTGAAACTTACCCACAATCAAGGCCTAGGACTTCTCCAAGTAATACCTAAATAATGGCTTAAGCAACAGCTCCAAGAACACTAATTTTCTCCAAAATTTCATGGGAATGGGTGTGGATTTTCTCCCAAAATAGAGAGTTTCAAGGGTTGAGGATGGTATGGTTGTGTTTGGATGGTTGTTTACTTAAACTTTCATGTGGTGGGAGTTGGATTTTGGAGAGGACTTGAGGGAGGAATCAAGCTTCAAAATTTTTCCCTTTGTTCTTCCATGGCCGCGGGTTTGAAGGTGTGAGGGGAGAGAGAAGAGAGTGAATAGTGACTTGGGGACATGTGGCTTAAGTCAACTTAAGTGGGTGGGTCCCACACGCCACCTCGCGCAATTCAAATTATTTCGAATCTCCCACTTAAACCACCAATCTCTAATTAATTTCTAAACTATTTAAAAAATTCAAATTTTAATATTCACCAAAGTTTTTTAATTGCCTTTGAGCAAATGAATCCGGAGTTTTCCGGTCATTCGGTGAAATCACAGTTTTAAGCTGTTATGTGCACTGTGGGCACGTTTCCCCAAAAATCCTAATTTCAATCAACTTTCACCAATAATCATAAATCTTAGTCATATGTACCTTTTTCAACTTATTTTCCAACCTAGAGCTCAAATTTCATTCGGCGCACTTTTCGATGTAGGGCATGAAGATTTGCTACTTGGTTTGATCTATTTTCCTTTGTAGGTGCTCTTGTTCATTAATATATTTCCCATGTTTTGAGTTTGAAATTGTTTGCCTCCAGGCTTTCCATCATCCTAACTGCTTCAGCATACAAATGAAATCCCGTCTGGAGCGGGTTTGTTAACTAATTTTATGGTCATAAAATGCAACTTAGTTAATTAATTAGTGAAAGACTTAATTAAAATATCATTATAGATTACCATAGACTAAGTGACGTAAATTTTTTTCTTTTAAAATCTATTACATAATTGCCTTTTTATCCTATTAATTCTGATTTGTATTTTGATTAATTATTTATTAATTAGCAACTATAAACAGTCACTAACATCTGCCCGAATATAATAACCAGTATTATTCCTGATAGAAAACAGACAACATGACGGTTGTAAATTGGACATTTCCAAGGACTACAATCCCACAAAATACACACACCTGATAAACAACAAGTCCAAAACATATAGAAAACTACATACAGACATAATCTATAACTATAGATACATCACATCAAAAGATGGCTCTGTGCCATAACTATGAAACCCTACGTCATCCTACATAAACACAATACATCCCACTGTCATAATATACACATCTGTATACAGGCTAGTATAGCCTCTCAAAAAGATTATCTGATAATTACGCATCATAGAAATATCATACAGCCAAACAAGAGTAACATTAATACACAACAGACTTAATACACAACAGACTCCTAAATACTAATCCAAATACTAATCCAAATAATACAAAATTCTCTTTAAATAATAAGTGGACTAAGTTTGGGGACAGGGGTTAAGACATTCCCTTCTTACAAAAACTTAACTTAACCATTAATCTATTTGTATCTAAAAGCTCAAATTTATTAATTATGATAATTACTAATTGCAAATAAGATCAACGACAAAGATTAACAATTTAATTTACATGACTGTAAAATAATATGCCCCAACATACACATATATAGTAGTAAGAAGTGTAAAAGAAAATTTTATATTTTTAACAAAATTCAACTTTACAATGTTAAAAAATAATGAGTAAATTAATAAAAAAATAAAAAAATATAATATTCTTGAAACTTTTGATTCGTTGAAATAAATAAAAACTCAAAAGATGAAATAAGGAGACAAAAATTACAATTTTCAATAACAAATATATAATATATCTCACTTGTATAATAAAATAAATACACATAAGAATTATATTTTCTTCATGATATTTTTCATGTTATATTGTTTTTATTTTAGTTTAAAATTCTAAATAATACTTTACAAAAATGTAGAAGATTATATATCTTTTTTTTTTTTGGAGAACAAGATTATATATTTTTAAAATATTTTTGTAATAATATATATAAATGTATTTAACAACTAATAATTTAGTAAATTTTTATTTTAAAAATAATTAATTGTGTTAAGTCAATAGTAAATATAAGATTAACAAAATAAAGTAAAATATAAGTTTTAATCGAATTTAAAGTCCATTAACATTTTGACAAAAACTAAAATAGTATAATATATGTAGAGAGAGAGAGATATACAAATTTTTATCAAAATAATAATTTAACAAAAATACATACCAGTTATTTCATATCCAGCCATGATTATGCTTTTAGGAGGCGTTTGGTAGAGGAGAAATTTTTTTTTTGTCCGGAAATATCAAGTTTTAAAAATATGTTTTTTATATTCAATTTATGATAATATTCAAAAATTTAAAATTTAAAAAAATTCAGTTTTCCGAAAATCTTGAGAAATGACGGGTACCAAACGCCCCCTAAAACTAGATAAAAATACATACCAGTTATTTCATAATACCAGTTATTTTAAATTTTTAATAATTTAGTATACGTTATATGTGCCACCTCTTCTTCCGGTTGACGTCCTCATTATCAATTCAACGAGAGCAAGTAGACGAGTTAGTGTTTGACAAACGGCATCGTATCTGTACCACTTTGGTTTTCCAGCCCTAGAAATTAATAGAAAACCCTGTCATAGGCTAATAGCAGTGTCGATTCATCATCGAATTCAAAGTTTGAATACAACACGTAGAGCGGGAAATGCAGCCAGAGAATCTTTTGCAGCAGCTTCATCTAGGAACCCAGAAGTGCAGCGTGGGTTGTCCCGTACTCGATCACTGCCTCAGCGGTGGCTTCCCCTGCAACTCGGTGACGGAGCTCGTGGGCGAAAGTGGTTGCGGCAAGACCCAATTCTGCCTCCAACTCGTGCTCTCCGCTCAGTTGCCACCGTCTCGCGGCGGTCTTTCGGCGTCGTCACTATACATCCACACGGAGTTCCCTTTTCCCTTGCGCCGCCTTCGACAACTGTCACGCGTTTTCCGTTCTTCGCATCCCGACTTTTGCAGCTCCGATCCGTGTGACCGCGTGTTCGTCCACGGTATTTATTCCGCGGACAAATTGGTCGACATAATGCCAAAGATAGAGTTGTTCCTATCGCACTCGAGGTCCCGGTGGCCGGTGAGAGTCATCGTGATCGATTCAATCGCTGCTCTGTTCCGGTCAGATTTTGAGAACACACGTTTGGACCTTAGAAAAAGGTCATCGCTATTTTTCAAGATTTCGGGGGGATTGAAGTCATTGGCAAAGAGGTTTGGAATTGCAGTGGTGGTGACGAACCAAGTGGTTGATTTGATTGGTAGTGCATCAGAGGGTGTGAATGGAATGAGGATCGGGAATCTGAGTGGGTTGTATTCGTCGGGTAGACGTGTTTGCCCTGCGTTGGGTTTGGCATGGGCCAACTGTTTGAACTCGAGGCTGTTCTTATCAATGGATGAGAAGGTTGATGGTGATGGTGATGGTGATGGTCGAGTTTATCAGCGAACCAAAACGAGGAGGCTGAGTGTTGTGTTTGCTCCTCATTTGCCTGAATCTTCTTGTGAATTTATGATAAAAGGAGAAGGCGTGTTTGGCGTGCAGATGCACCAGGCGTAACCATGAAAACTGACAAGGTTGAGAGAGTGACGGGTGAATTATTATGGTTTTTTTTATTTTATAATTTAATCAGATGAGAATATATGACAAGTGTAAAGAAGCAATATTTTGTAAGTGTTTTAGCTGCCTTTCCATTAAACCATGTATTGTTTCTTTGGCTTCTCTTTTTGACTATTCGTTCGTGAATATCTTCACTCTTACAATACTCTTAATTATCTTGTGTGAACATTCTTCAATATCCTCATTATTCTCAATTTCTGTCATCAGCTTTGTCTGTTCGAGTAAGTTACCTTTGGTGGTGTAATTGATTTTCCCTTCTCTCTTCCCTCCATCTGTTAAGGGAAATGTCACAATTTGAATGAAACATATTAGGTGGCCAAAAAACATATATTTTCAACTCAAATTTCTTATTCATAACACAAAATTTTAACAATCCCTCCACATGATTAAGAAGTTGGGTCGTGGTGAACATATGCATATATGATGATGCATGCAAACTGTGATTCTTGAGTGAGGAAATGTAACATTTGGTTCATGGCCAGTTTGTTATCATATTTGTTAATTGTATATTTTTTATAATTGGAAAGATTTAATTTCTGATTTGATTGACCAATTTATGTAGTAATTAAAGGGAATCCATTACATAAAGTGATTGTAGGAATTATGTGAAGAGATTTTAGGAGTTTTAATTTTCTGATTATTTGTAATTTTCTTCCTTGATTTATGGCTGATTTGTAGCCTGATTTATGTCTGATTTGTAACTCTAGGACTTTTTATATAATGACCTCTATTGAGGTAGAAGAAATACAAATGAATTACTATTCTATAGAGTTCTTTGATTTCTAACATGGTATCAGAGCCTCTATTCTAATCTAGCAAAGGGACTGCGAAATCAATCTCACATCAAAGCAATGGCCACTACCTCTGATGAAAGTCCCCAGCAGCCCACTGCCAATGCTGCTTACTCGGGTACTGTTGGTAAAACTCCTTTTTTTCCCTGCATGTTCTAGAGATGATATTTGGATAATTAGCACTGGAGCTTCTGATCATATGATAAAGGATTCTAGTAAGTTGCATTATTTTTTCCCTTCTTCCTAATCATTCATTTCTACTGCTAATGGTAGTACCTCTTCTTTCACTGGTAAAGGATCTCTTATCCTGTCTGAACATCTTCATTTGACTTCTGGTTTGGTTGTCCCTTCCCTTGAATATAACTTACTTTCTGTAGCACAACTTACTAATACCTTGAACTGTACTGTCACCTTTTGGCCCTTATTTTGTGTGTTCCAGGACATTTCCACTCGGAAGACTCTTGGCTATGGTGTTAAGCGAGACAAACTTTATTATCTGGATGTCACCGGAAAGAGACAGAATAAATTGGGAGAGGTCAATCATGCCAGTAGTGAAGATAAGGCTCGGGAAACAATTTGGCTTTGGCATAAAAGACTATGACATCTCTCTTTTGGCTATTTGAAAAAATTACATTCAAGATTATTTTCTAGTTTGAATATTGATGATTTCCATTGTGACACATGTGAACTAGCAAAAAGTCATCGTATTTCCTATTCTCCTAGTAGTAATAAAAGTTCAATTCCTTTTGAAGTTGTTCACTCGGACGTTTGGGGACCGACTGGTGTCCCTTCCCTGTCTAAAGCTCGATACTTTGTGACATTTATAAATGAATGTACTCGAATGACATGGGTCATGTTGTTGCATAAGAAAAGTGATGTATTTACAGCCTTCCAAACCTTTCACCAAATGGTAGCCACTCAATTTCAATGCCAGATCCAAATTTTACAGTCTGATAATGGGACAGAATATACAGATAAATCTTTTGTGCAGTTCTTGAATCACAAGGGAATTAGACATCAGACCTCTTGTACTTATACACCACAAAAAAATGGTTTGGCCGAAAGGAAGAATAGACAACTTATGGAGGTTGTTCGTGCTTCTCTCTTTGGCATGAATATGCCTCGTTTTTACTGGGGTGAAGCTGTTCGCTCTGCTGCTTATTTGATTAATCGTACCCCTTCTAGTGTCATCAACTTTGTGACTCCGCAACAGAAGTTTGAATAACTACTTTCAGTTCACCATATTCCCAATCTTGAACCTCGTGTGTTTGGCTGCACTGTTTATGTCCATATTCCCAAAGTACTGCGTAACAAACTTGATCCATGTGCTAAAAGGTGTGTGTTTGTTGGTTACTCTGATGTTCAGAAAGGATACCGGTGTTATGATCTCTAACGACAAAAAGCACATATCACTTTAGATGTCTCTTTTCGGGAATTTGAACCTTATTATTCAAGGGGAGTTTCTGGGTCTCCTATTCAGGGGGAGAGTTACTATGAAGAGCAAGACCAATTAACCACCTTGAATGGAGGAGGAACTGAAGCAACATATACAGGTATGGAGAATGTTGAAGTCTTACACTCTGACTCTCCAGTAACAACAGAAATACCTTGCTTAACACCAGAAACTGAGGGATCTCTCCGGGACCACCATAATCCAACAGAGGTAATTTCTAATCCTACTCCTCTTGAAGAAAATATCTTTCAGAATAATAATCTACCCACTGAAAGTGTCATTGTGTTTCCTGATATTCCTACTGAAACCATGATTGATTCTGGTGACGTAACTCTCAGAAGATCACATAGGATCAATAAGGGTGTCCCAAAGGAACTTTATGAACCTGACCCCAATGCTAAAGCTAAATATCCTATTAGTAACTATATGTCTAATCACAGGTTGTCTGAGTCATATGCTCTTGTTGTTGATCAATTGTCCAGTATATCTGTCCCTAGTAATGTGCACGATGCATTAGAGGATCCGAATTGGAAGAAGGCAATGAATGATGAAATGGAGGCCTTGTAAAAGAACTCTACATGGGAGCTCGTGCCCTTACCGGATGGCAAACGAACCATTGGATGTATGTGGGTGTTTACTGTAAAGCTCAAGGCAGATGGAAGCATTAACAGGTACAAAGCTAGATTGGTGGCAAAAGGATACTCGCAAAAGTATGGAGTAGACTACCAAGAAACCTTTGCACTAGTAGCTAAACTCAATACAATCCGAATAATTATGTCTATAGCTGCAAATAGAGATTGACCACTACGACAATTTGATGTAAAGAATGCATTTTTAAATGGAGACATCAAAGAAGAGGTGTACATAGAGATACCACCAGGCGTCAAACAAAGTTCTTTTAGTGAGAATAAAGTTTGTAAATTGAAGAAAGCCTTATATGGACTTAAACAATCCCCTAGAGCATGGTTTAGGAGATTTTCTTCTGCAATGAGGAGATTCAGATATAAACAAAGCAATGCTGACCACACCTTGTTCATTAAACACAAGGAAGGAAAAGTGACCGTATTGATTGTCTATGTAGATCTCACTTAGATTTTGCTGCAGGAGGATATTTCTTTACAGGAACACTTGAATCAAGGTACGAAATCATAGAAGGGACTGCTGAAAGATGTCTCCAACGGCCAATAGACAGAGTGAGCCCAGTGAGGAAGCCAGGCGTGCTAGAACTGGATAAACAAACAGCCATGGAAGCCCAGCTGGCATCACTCATGAATGAAGTGAAGAACCTGAGAGCTGACCAAGCAGCACCAAGGATGGAAGTCTTACAACTCACAGCAACTGAAACAGAACCATGCTCAGCCTGTGGTGACCTTCATGACTCAATAGACTGCCCATCCACTGGATTGGTGTGTTATGCAGAAAATTTTGGCAATAGGAACTTCACCAGAGACAATCAACAAGCAGGACGAAATACACATTCAAGCCCTGGAGGAACTATCATTAAGGATCATAACCACAACACCCAATGGAGGCCACCCATTAACCAGAGACCATTCAACAACAATCAGCAGCAGTATTAGCAAGGTAGCAGCAGTGGAACGTTTGAACAAAGAAGAAACAACTACGTTCCGTTCCACAGAGATGACCAACGCATCAACACCTGGAAAATTATGTCAAGGAATATATCACCAGGAATGATGCAGTGGTCAGGAACATTGAGTCCCATCTGGGGCAGATTGCTGCCAACCTTCAAACTAGAACACAAGGATCACTAGCAGGGAATACTGACGTTCCTTCAACAACCTCGCCAAAAGTAGCACCTATCTCCCCTTCAGAGCAAATCAAAGCTGTCACCTTAAGAAGTGGGAAAGCCACAACACAGCCCACAGTTCAACCAAAGGAAAAGGAACAGACTGAAGCATCTGAAGCAGCCCCAAAAGCACAACAACAATCACCAGTCATAGATGAACAGAACTCAGAACCTGAAAAGGAAGCCAACAACCAACCAATCAGTCCAACTCAAAGCAGGAAAATATCAACAAAAATTACGTTCCCTCAAAGAACAAAAAAGCAACAGGAGGATAAGCACTTTGGAAAGTTCATGGACATTTTAAAACAACTTCACATCAACATTCCTCTGGTGGACGCACTAGAACAGATGCCCAGGTACATAAAATTCATGAAAGATGTCCTCTAAAAAAAAAGAGGAATAACGGAATATGAGACTGTAAAAATAACACAAGAGAGTTGCCAGTACTTAGGCAGACTCCCACCTAAGCTTCAAGACCCAGGAAGCTTCACCATTCCTTACATTATAGGAAACACGTACCAAGGGACAACCTTGTGTGATTTAGGGGCCAACATGAATCTCATGCCCCTATCTGTCTTCAAACAATTATCCACTGGACCAGCTAAACCCACCACGGTGACTTTGCAAATGGCAGACAGATCCATCGTCAAGCCAGAAAGGAAGATTGAAGATCTGCTAGTCAAAGTAGACAAATTTATCTTACCTGCTGACTTCATCATTCTGGATTATGAAGCTGACATTGACGTTCCCATCATTCTGGGTAGACCGTTCCTAGTAATTGGAGGAGCAGTTATCAATGTACAAAAAGGGGAACTAACCATGAGAGTTCATGACGATGAGATCAAGTTCAATATTGTCAAAGCAATAAAGTTCCAGGATGAAGGAGAAGACTTGGAAGAATGTTCTGCTCTCACTTTGTTAGACAATCAGCTTAACAAAAAAACAGAGGAAGAAGAATACGAGGAAGAAGAAGAAGATCCACAACAGGAAGAGCAAAGTTGCTATCTGCAAGAAAGAAGGCCTAAACCTTTGATAAGAACTGAAAAGGAGAAGCAGCTCAAAAGACCTTCTTCAGAAAAACCTCCTGATTTAGAACTAAAACCCCTTCCCCAACATTTAAAGTATGCATATCTGGGGAACAACAACACCTATCCTGTGATCATTTCTTCATTTCTTACCAAGGAAAAAGAAGAACTGTTGCTTGACAAGCTCAAAAAGTATCAAGGAGCCATCGGTTGGACCGTAGCTGATCTCAAAGGTATCAGTCCCTCATTCTGTATGCATAAAATATTATTGACTGATCCTAACAGTTTTCAGTGGAACACCAAAGAAGATTGAACCCTATAATGAAAGAAGTGGTGAGAAAGGAAGTCATCAAATGGATGGATGCAGGGATCATATACCCAATATCTGACAGCAGTTGGGTAAGTCTTGTCCAATGCGTCCCCAAAAAGGGAGGCATAACAGTGGAGAAGGATGAAAAGAATGAGCTGATACCTGTAAGAAAGGTTACAGGATGGAGAATCTGCCAAGATTACAGGAAGCTCAACAATGCCACCAGGAAGGACCATTTCCCACTCCCTTTTACAGATCAGATTCTGGACCACCTAGTAGGAAAATAATACTTCTGCTTCCTTGATGGATATTCGGGGTATAATCAAATTGCCTTGGAACCAGAAGATCAACATAAAACCACCTTCACCTGCCCATATGGAACGTTCGCTTTCAGAAGGATGCCCTTCGGGTTATGTAATGCACCAGCAACGTTCCAGAGGTGTATGTTCTCAATCTTTTCTGATCTAATAGGTGAAGGAGTAGAAGTCTTTATGGATGATTTTTCAGTACTGGGAACGTCATATGATCACTGCTTGGACAACTTAGAAGAAGTCCTTCAAAGGTGTCTGTCCTCTAATCTAGTGCTTAATTGGGAAAAATGCCACTTCATGGTGAAAGAAGGAATAGTCCTGGGACACAAGATTTCCAGAGAAGGACTGGAAGTGGATCAAGCCAAAGTAGAAGCTATAGCAAAAATGCCGCCACCAGTAAGTGTAAAAACCTTGAGATCTTTTTTAGGGCATGCAGGCTTTTACATAAGGTTTGTTAAAGATTTTTCCAAAATAGCTAGACCTTTGTGCCACTTATTAGAAAAAGATATAAAAGTTGAGTTTAACTCTGATTGTGTGAAAGCTTTTGATTCTTTGAAAAACAAGCTCATCACCACGCCTGTCATCCAACCTCCAGACTGCAACTTACCCTTTGAACTAATGTGCGATGCAAGTGATCCTGCTATTGGGGTAGTTCTGGGTCAGAGGAAGGACAAACTTTTTCGTAGCATATATTACGCCAGTACAAATGGCCACATATTGATATTAGTTAATCAATAAATTTTTGTTGGACAAATGAATTTTTTTATACATTTATTTAAGAATAAGTGAATGCTTTTGGTTTACTTTCAAAATTCTAGAGTAAATTACACATGCATTAAATTTTAATTTTTTGTCCAATCTAATGGGCTTCACATTTAGTAAAGAACAAGTAGTTTATTTTGACCGTTATTGAAACTCAAGACTGAATTACATAATGTAAAGTTATTTTTTTTTTTTTTTATGTAAATATGTATTTTGACCATTAAAGAAATATACGATAGAAATTAAATTAGATTTTCAAATTATTGGATTAATATTTATAAGGAATACGATCATTTGACACGTGTTCATATGAATAGTTAATTTACATCAATTTAATGGTGGTAATTTATTAGGTTGCATTTATTAATTAATTACAATTCTTAATAAATCAATAATTAAGATGAGATGTGAAATTTTTTAATTTCACAATAATATCAAATTATCCTACCCTTACTTAAAAATATAATAGCAATTTTATGTTGTATATAATTTTAATGTACCATATCAGATATTTACACTTTTTTTTTATGTGTTTAATGTTCTCCCCTTATAGTTATTTTGAGGTTTAGATTTTTATTTTTATTTACTTAAAATAATGAAAATAAGGGTTTAATTTAGCTTCAATAGTTGTTCCGGACTTCCGGTTCGCCTTTTTTTTTTATTTGTTTTTTTTATAAAGATTTATATAAAACAACAAAAAATAGAAATTAAACCCTTCTTTTATGAGTAAAAAATAAAATAAAAACAAATTCGGTTTTGTATTTTGTTTTGATCTTTTCTTCTCTCGGGTTGGTGTGTTTTGCTGTATAGAGTTAAGTGGAGGAGGCTCTATATATTCGTTCCTCCTTCGAAAGACACAATCCCTTTATCCTTGCAAAGAAAGTAGAGTCCGAACAGAGCAAGTGCACATTTTACAATTGACAATTAATTAAGCATGCCAATTGTAATCGCTGCATCTGCAAACCTTTCCCCTCTATTTTCTGGACACAAATTTTCGCACACCTACCCCCAAAGTTACTGGAAATTTCATCAAAATGGGTGCGGTCCAATTCCAAGTTGGAGCTTCAAATTGAGGACACAGCACTGTACGAATGCTTTGCTATCTGATATTTACAGTCGAGATAAGTTTCCATCGGTGGGTGCACGATCAACGGGACCCATTGTACCTACTCACCTCATTGAAGTGGTTAAAACTGCTGCTCAGACTGGCGCTCAGGTTTCCCATTTTTTCTCCTTTGCATTCTGTTGTTATGATGTCTTGATAATGTATATTTGTTATTCTCTGTGGATTGTTCTTTTGATTGCCATGGTTTTGTTTCTAACTTGTATGAATTTGGTGCTAAACAGTCCATATTTTATTTAAGATAGTCAAACTGCATAAGCTTCGCTTTAATAATAATAATAATAATAATTATTATTATTATTAAAGTTGAAGGTTTTAGACATTTCCTTCACTTATTAGCAAAGCAGAGAAAAAGAGAAATTGAAAAACAAAGAGAGAGGACGTTTCATGGATGATAAATGAATATGTGAGTTGTGGGGAAAGGTAGTGTTTATAGGTAATCCATTTGTTTGACATATTGTTTCTTATATAATTAACTTGTGATATTCAAACTTGGTGGAAGACCTGAAACCTCGGGCTTGTTTCTTACTTTTCCAAGCAATATGTGCGTCACCAAAAAACAAGTGAAAGCTGTTTGGTAAAACATGTAAGTATGCAAAAATACCTAATGGGGTTGCTGGACTTGGCATACATGTTTAAACATGTATGAAACTTTGGCTCTTGACATCTATGAATGCTGGACTGTTTTTTCTCATATATTTATATGTCTGGGCACGACGATTGGTGGTGTTGCTATGACCTGGAGATCACAGGTTCAGTTCATGTAATTAGCCTCTTGCAAATGCAAGGTAAAGCTGCCTATTATAGACCCACACAATGGGTTTGACCTTTCCCTGGACCCTACGCATAGCGAGAGCTTTATAGCACCGGACTGTCCTTTTTTATATATGAGGCAGCTTATCATTGAATAGTTATGGACATGGAACTACAACTTTGACTACGTGGACCATGCCATGATTTTTGGATGTGTACAATGATGTATGATGAACATGCCTTAGCTTGACTTATTATGCTGCTATGCGTGATGGACAATTGGGAGATAAAGAATTTCACAATATACCTGACATGTTTAACCTTTGCTTGTATGAAGACATAAGCATGACATGCTTGAACACAATATGAGAAAATAACGACACAAAGAATAGGAAATACTGAATGATATGTGATGCGTTTTTGTGGCTATGAACAGCTAACTTCAAATAATTAAGTGAATTTGTTTAAAAGATAAAATTTATATATAAAATATTGGCATGGGCATGCCACTTTACTCTTCCGAAGGTAAGTCCTTACCACTTGATTAGCATGTTGTTAATACTTGATTATTTAGCTCTTTAAGTATTTAATTTTACTTCTCTATTCCTCAATTAAGTTTAATAATATAATGCTCTATGCTCCTTATTTATATATCCTTTGTGTTTAGTAAGTAGCATGTTTCTTTTGTAAAGAAAGTCAAATAATTGGTCAGTATGCACTTCTTTCTTAGTTTTTAGGACATTGGTCATGTTGAGAAAAACTTAGATATAATGAGTAATATATCTAGAATTGCAGAGATACTCTAGGAGAGACTAACGGAAAACTACACATTGAGGTATATAAGCTATTTTTCTAGACATAATAATACTAAATCTTCAGGTAGCTTAGTCTAATCGTGGTCAAACAGGTTTTGGGCTTTTCAGCTATAACTTCCACAGTATATTGCTAATAATAGCTTTTTTAAATTTTGTTTTTCTAGTTAAATAAGGTTTTGGCATGTCATTATCTTCACATGGATATTACATCTTTTTGTTATTTACAGGTTGTGATGGATGCTGTTAATAAGCCACGAAATATTACATATAAAGGATTAACCGACTTGGTGACTGAGTAAGGTCTCATTGAAACTCTAATTAATTCTTATCTTATTTGATGTTAAAATCAATTTATCAACATAGATTTATGGCCCCTCTCCTTTGTTGCCTTCCTTCTTGTTCTCACTTAGTTGGATAATATAAATAATATGAACATTCTTTGAGTTACCCAGTATTTTTTTGTTCAAGATCTGTTATTTGCTGCAGATATTATGCCTTTGATATGCATTAATCTTTGAACTCCTAGCATCTTTTGTTGTTGATTTTAAACTTATTGCACTATTACTTGTTTGCATGCTTTGTTTCTCTGATGGAATTAGAGTCATTTTTTGGACCATATTTTCACTTACTTTTGTAAATTATTTACAGGACAGATAAAATGAGCGAAGCTGCCATATTGGAAGTGGTGAAAAAGAATTTTGAAGATCATCTTATTCTTGGGGAAGAAGGAGGAATTATAGGAGAAGCAGCATCTGATTATCTCTGGTGCATTGATCCTTTAGGTCTGGGATTTCAGTCAATGCTCCTTTTTGTCCCAATTTTTTAAGGAATTATTGTAATTTTAAGCACAACTTTAATTAGAATTCAGAAACTAGAGCCGGGCATTCAAGTCTATTTCTTCAGTTTTAGTACAGACCCTGTTCAAAATTTTCAGCTTCTTTTAAAGAAAGACATGGATTTAACTTCTATGAACTATGTTCCACCACTCATTCCAAGTATGGGTCTTATTTGAATCTGCAATTTGATTCATGTGATTTATCTCCCTCTGTTTCTTTTTATATTTATTTTATTGTAACATATTCTCATTAGTTTTAAAAAAAAAAATGCATCCCCAGTTCCATACTCTCTTGATCAAGAGATATTCCTTCTTGGCGGTGTTCTAAGTAAGGCCCAGTCAAGGCCATATCTTGTATGGTATAGTCTATTTTTTCCTCTTTGTATTCAAATATATTATCTTAGAGTGCATGTTCCTCATCCATTTCTTTTTCTGTGTATTGTTTGGATATTTTAGTTACAAATCTTTGATATTTTTGTAGATGGGACAACAAACTTTGCACATGGCTATCCCAGCTTTGCTGTTTCTGTTGGAGTTCTATATCGAGGGAATCCTGCTGCCGCTGCAGTGGTTATTTATCCTTATCTTTTACTTTGATATTATGTTATTTGCAATTTTGCATAACTGTTTATGGTAAATAGAGTAAAAATAAACAAGAACTTAGCGTAAAAAAAAGGTTATAGTTAGCATAAACACATTTCTATTTTACAAAAATAATGGAGATTAAAAGATAGATATTCCTTGTATTTGACAACAAAATAATTATATACCTCATGTTCATTTACTTGATTAATTCTTGTGATCATAAAAAGTTTCCTTTTAAGCAGAAGAATTGAAATGATACAGTTCAATTAATGATTGAATACAGTTTGATGCACATAAGACTTGGTTGAATTTATTTATGATAGAGTTGAAATTTGGAGTTCTGAATATGAATATTATTTACTTGAATGTTCAGGTTTATAATTTATAGACAAATGTGAATAATTGTTTTCTTAATGAAGAGCTGATTCTAAGGAAACAAATAAGAAGAAAATCAGACCTAATAAAAAGGAAAAACAAATCTATAGTAATTACACAATTATTCATTCTTTATTTATCCGTCTCAAAATGGTGAGTTGATATTTATTATTCTCAGCTTGCTAGCAAGGTCTTGAAATCTCTCGTTCGGAAATCCTTTAGTCAATTGATAAACTAATTGAAGCCCTGAAAGGATATATGGAGCAGCAATTAGCTCGTTATGAAGTGGTGGTTGATCTCAATATATTTTGTTCTAGCATGTTGAACATGATTATGAGCTTGACAAATAATAGATTAATATCACAAAGCAACTTCATTGGTCATATTTCACTATGAGGTTGTATAGTATAATTTTCAGCCATAGTGGTTCATAAACTCCTTGAGTCAGAACTTTTGCCTCTACACTTGAATGAGGTATCTCATTTTGTTCCTTATTCTTCCATGTTAATAAATTCCCACGAAGGAACACACAATAACCAGAGATTGATCTCTGGTTTGTAATGGATCCTGCATAATTAGCATCAGTATACACTTCTAAGGACAAATTTCCACCTTTTTCGTAATTGCAGTCCTCTTCCTGCTATAGCTTTAAGGTACTGGAAAATTTTGTCAATAGCATGCAAGTATGTCTCCCTTGGGTTGTGCTAAACTGGCTGACAACACTAACCATATGTGCTAAACCTGGTCTTGTATGAGTCAAATATATCAATCTTCCTCTACCTCTGATAGTGCCTTTTGTCAACCTTGGGACACTCTTCTTCATTTTCCATTTTACATCCATGTTTTCAAACTTCCTTGGTGAGATCAAGGACATACTTCCCCTAAAAGATACAAGTACCTTGTTTGTACTAAGAAACTTCAATCCCAAGAAAGTACCTAAGCTTCCCAAGGTCTATACTTTCAAATTCAGCGGTCAACTTCTCTTAGTAGTCCTTTATCAATTAGATCATCCTCTATTATAATGATGTTATCTACGTAGACAAGAAGAATAATGAGTTTTCCCTCATATGATTATTTAAAGAAGAGTATCTGGTGTCCCTGACTCTGCTTGTATCTCAAGGACATCCTGATGAAATATATGAAATGTATTTTATGAAATATATGAAATGTATTTTTCATATATTGATTGACACCCAAAGGGATCTTTATATACAGATTACAAGGTAGTTAAGGAGTTGAAGTAATAAATAAAATACACAGTAACCGAAGAGGCATCACACTACTCAAAGGAACAAGTAGCTAGAAACAAGTAGAAATCTCTAGAATATTCTACACTCCCCCTCAAGTTGGGAGATATATATTGATCATCCCCAACTTGCTAATTAAATCCTCAAAGATGGGTTTGTGTAATCCTTTGGTGAGAATGTCGGCTGTTTGCTCCTTGGTAGGTATATATGACAAACATACACTACCCTCCTCCAATTTTTCTTTGATAAAATGACGATCAACCTCCACATGTTTGGTTCTGTCATGATGTACAGGATTTTGAGCAATACTGACTGCAGCCTTATTATCACAATAGAGTCTCACAGGTAGAGAATAAGATATCTTTAATTCTCCAAGGAGCCTTCTTAACCAGATTCCTTCACAAATGCCATGGGCTAGCGCCCGAAATTCTGCTTCTGCACTGCTTCTGGCAACAACAGTTTGTTTCTTACTTCTCCAGGTCACAAGATTTCCCCAGACATAGGTACAATATCCTGAAGTGGATCTTCGGTCCATAGCAGAGCCAGCCCAATCAACATCTGTATAGATTTCTATCATCCTCTTGTGTCCCCTTTTAAAGAGCATTCCTCGACCAGGGGTGTTTTTGAGGTACTTGAGGATTCTATAAACAGCACTAAGGTGTTTTTCCTTAGGAGAATGCATGAATTGGCTAACCATGCTAACCGCAAATGCAATATCAGGCTGAGTGTGAGATAAGTAGATCAGCTTCCCTACCAACCTTTGGTATTGCTCCCTGTCAACATCTTTTCCATCTTCAATTCCCAATTTAATATTGGGTTCAACTGGAGTTTCTGCAGGCTTGCACCCAAGCATACCTGTTTCTTGTAGCAGGTCTAGAATATATTTCTTCTGAGATAAGGAAATTCCCGCTTTGCTACGAGCAACTTCCATTCCAAGGAAATATTTGAGAGATCCAAGATCCTTTAGTTCAAACTGACTAGCTAAACCCCCTTTTAAAGATTTTATTTCTTCCCAGTCATCACCTGTGACAATTATGTCGTCAACATAAACAATGAGGATAGCAATTTTGCCACTATCGGAGTGTTTAAAAAATAAAGTGTGATCAGTCTGAGCTTGGATAAATCCTCTTTCTTTAACAACACGAGTAAACTTTTCAAACCACTCTCTAGGGGATTGTTTAAGTCCATAAAGAGATTTCTTCAACATGCATACAGAACCATCTCCCTGTTCAAAACCAGGTGGTGGATCCATGTAAACTTCCTCATGTAAGTCCCCATTTAAGAAAGCGTTCTTTACGTCCAATTGATGCAAGGGCCAATCAAGGTTGGCAGCAAGTGATAGTAAGACTCAGATAGAGTTAAGTTTGGCAACGGGAGCGAACGTCTCCTGATAGTCTATCCCATAAGTCTGAGTAAATCCTTTGGCAACCAATCTGGCCTTATATTTGTTGATGCTGTTATCTGCATTAAATTTTATTGTGAACACCCATTTGCAACCTACAGTTTTCTTTCCTCTGGGAAGTGCCACGGACTCCCAAGTTCCATTTTTTTTAAGAGCATCCATTTCTTCAAAGACTGCATCCCTCCATTTAGGATCATTAAGTGCCTCTTGGATATTTTTTGGTATTTTTGTACCGTCTAATATAGTGTTGAAAGCACGAAAACCTGGAGATAACTTTTCATATGAAATGTGATGAGAAATAGGATGAGCAGTGCAAGATCTAGTACCTTTTCGAAGGGCAATGGGCACATCTAGGTCAGCTGTACCAGTGTTCTCAAGTGGATTGCTGGAACTAGGACTCGGGTCAGAATCCTGGCAGTCTAGAGGATCTTGAGGAGATTTTCGCATGCTGTAGAATTTTCCCCATTTACCGGGAGGATCTCCAGTCTCTGGTACAATTGCTGTCCTTGTCTCCTGTACATTAACTCCCCCTGACTCCAAAGGTAAAGAAACAACAGATGTTTCCAAGGGTAAAGGTAAGACAGTAGAATTATTTGGATTCCAAGACTTGTCTTCATTTATACCAATAGACTCCCCCTGAAGAGAAGTCGAGGGAAAAAATGATTGTGTTTCACAAAAAGTAACATCCATAGAAACAAAGACCTTTCGAAGAGAAGGTGAGTAGCACTTGTAACCTTTTTGATTAGGAGGATATCCTATGAAGACACATTTAACAGACTTATGATCAAGTTTGGACCTTTGATGTGGAGGAATATGAACAAAAACCACGCAGCCAAACAACTTTGGAGGAAGGGAAGAGAGAGCCCGAAAGGAGGGAAAAGAGCGGGTAAGGCAAGATATAGGAGAATGAAAATTCAGGACGCGAGAGGGCATCCGATTGATGAGATATGAGGCAGTCAAGACAGCCTCCCCCACAGGTATTTAGGGACATGCATTGTAGACAAGAGGGCTCTAGCAACTTCAATGAGATGTCTATTTTTCCTTTCAGCCACCCCATTTTGTTGAGGGGTGTTAGGACAAGAACTTTGATGGATAATACCTTGCTTGGTTAGGTAATCACCAAGAACAGAATTAAAATATTCAGTACCGTTGTCAGTTCGCAGGATTTGGATAGAGGTCTGGAATTGAGTTTGTACCATAGCATGAAAATTTTTAAAAGTGGCTGCAGCTTCAGACTTATCTTTTAGAAGATATACCCAGCATACTCTAGAATGATCATCAATAAAGGTAATAAACCAACGAGTTCCAGATATATTTTTTTCACGAGCTGGGCCCCAAATATCACTATGAATCAATGTAAATGGAGACGAAACATGATAATCTCTAGGGAAATAAGAAACACGAGAGTGTTTTGCAAACTGACAATCATCACAAAAAAAGGAACTTGGTTTTTTGTTGATAAATAAGTTTGGAAGCAGCTTTTGAAGATAAAAGAAATTTGGGTGTCCTAAACGACGATGCCACAACAAAACATCATTACAATCGTCTGATAAACATAAAGAGTGATTTGCAAAAAATCTCTTTTCATGAGAATCTTCTTCTAAATAGTAAAGCCCTTCTTCCTCTCTAGCACTGCCAATCATCAGCCCCGAATCCTGTTCTTGAAAAACACAGGTTTTGGCTGAGAATTTAGCAACACAATGCAATTCAGAGGAAAGTTTACTAATAGAGATAAGGTTACAAGTAAGAGAAGGGACATGAAGGACAGAATTCAGAGTAATATGTTCAGAGAGCTTAATGGATCCCTTTCCCGCAATATTAGAGAAACTATCATCAGCCGTCCTTATTCGTGACTGGTGATAATAAGGGGTATAAGAACAAAACAGGGATGCATTACCTGTCATATGATCAGAAGCTCCCGAATCAAGAATCAAACGACTACTATGATCAACATGGAATGCCATACCTTGTTGAGCAACATGACTAGTTGCCTCAGCAGATTGAGACATCACCTTCTGAAATTGCTCATAATTCTTACCGTTTAAACGGTGGTTAGTAATCTGTATAGCTAGGTTGTCTCCGGAAGACGAAGAACAAGGAAGAGGAAAGACACCGGAAACATTACCGGATGATTTTTCAGAATGCTTATTCTCAGCCTCAATATTTTCAACTTCCATTGTTCAAAATAAAAAAATAAAAAAAACAAACTCCAATCGTTCAGAACTGAAAAATCATGAAGAGGAACCAACTGGACCCAACAAGAAGAGTGCTCCAATCGTCATTTAAACCCCCAGAACAGGAAGAGGAAGGCCAGGCGAGCCGTTCTGTGAAAGCCGCGTGACAAACGGAGGCCGGCAGGGCGGCGCGTGGCTCACACGCGCCGGAGAGGCAGTTCTGCAGTGGCGGCGCGTGGCGGCGCGTGGCTGACTTTCCGGCGACGGGGCTGACGTGGGTCGACTCGGAAATGGCTTCTGAGTCCAATGGTGGCCTTGGTTTCGTGATTGGAGGGGTCCAGATATGGTTTCTGAGTTATTTTAATAAACAGTGAAAAATGGAAAACGGAAGGAAACGTGAAGGTTTACAAGATGACCACAGGATAACCTGCTCTTGATACCATGATGAAATATATGAAATGTATTTTTCATATATTGATTGACACCCAAAGGGATCTTTATATACAGATTACAAGGTAGTTAAGGAGTTGAAGTAATAAATAAAATACACAGTAACCGAAGAGGCATCACACTACTCAAAGGAACAAGTAGCTAGAAACAAGTAGAAAACTCTAGAATATTCTACACATCCAAACCATGCATAGGGAGATTTCTTCAACCCATGTAAAGCCTTTTTTAACTTGCCTACTTATATCTTTGGAATTGAATCCTCTTGGGATCTTCATATAAACCTCTAGCAATTCGTCACGAAGGAAAGCATTTTATACCTCAAGCTAGTTCTATTCCCAATCAAAGTTGTTCCAAGAGATAATAGGATTCTTATCGTATTAATTTTTGCTATAGCACAAATTTAGCAAACCTTAAATCCTCATGTTGATGACATAACTACCCACTGCTACACTATCAAGGAGTTGTGTAGTATCTTCATTCCCTTAGCTCTCTTATCTCTTCCCTATACTAAGACCTATCTATTTTCAAATATACTGTGACTCGTGGAAGTAAAAAACAATATGTGGTTGTAAGGCCCAGTTCTGAAGCTCAATTTAGAGCAATAGTACTTGCAATACATGAACTGTTGGGGCTGAAAATTATCTTGGAAGATCTGAGAACCAAGTGGAAAGGTCCAATGAAGCTTTATTGTGACAACTAACCATTCGTATTACCCATAATCTTGTATCATATGACCGTAAGAAACATATTGAGGCCGATGGGCATTTTATTTAAGTAAAGTTGGATAGGGGCCTAATCTATACTCCTTTTGCCCCTTCTAGCAGTCAACTTGCAGATGTGGTTGACAATGGGTTGTGCAGTGTCAATTTTCAGAAACTAACCAACAAGCTTGGAATGGATGATATCCGTTCACCTGCTTCATGGATTATAAGGGTAAACCCTACTCCACAAAGCTCCGTTACTTGTGAAGGTAGGGGGAGGGTTGATGGTGCGCAACTTTACCCTTACATTTTTGCAAAGAGACTGTTTTCTAGACTTGAACCCGTGACTGTGACCTAGTGCGCAACTTTACTCAATTCATATCATATTGCTTACTTTATTAACACTTAACATATTTCAATCACCAAGATCCATTTGCATCCATTTTCTAAACATACACATAATCATAATCCTAAAATAGGCCTATTGCCCTTTCATCATATTACATGCTTCCATATTACATCAAATATTAATGTACAAATTACAACTTCCAAATGGAATATTACACTTTACAAGCCATAATCTTTAAATACAACATAATGAATAAACCTCGAAATGACATAAGTCACTAGACTTAGGCAAAAATGACATGAACAAATATGACAATAAATCTTCTCCTACATCCATATGCAATGTGCATGCCCTAAGTCTAGTCTAGGCCCAATGGCCACCAAAATGCAAAATAAATACTCCTATATCTCAGTCATCCCATGGGCTTCTTGCCCACCGCTCCTGCACCACTGCTACCTCCTGAAATAAAGCCCCCAAGACGGGGTGAGATATACGAATATATCTCAGTAACCCAGAGGTTCTGGAGAATACTCCGTCCAATGGCTCACTTCGATGCATATAAATAACGTAACATAACAGCTGTAAAACGGGATAAAGCAAGAGATTTAGAGAAATAGGGGAGCATAGGGATACAAAATACGACGAAGCTGGAATGGTGAATGCCAAAACCACGCAACGTCCAGCCTATTGGCTCGGCATATAAGCCTACGGGTCTCAACCAAGGCGTGTTCCCAGAAAATCAAACCAAGGCACTCTCCATCCATAACCACCCTAGACTTCCTAGTGTGCTCCTATCCGGATCACACACCACGACCCCAGGTCAACTGGAATTCCCTCACGGAGACCTATCCAGTGGAAGTCCGTAACGCCCGAAGGCAACACGTCTACTGGCCAGAGACACGGTACATCCTATGTACCAACACACATACTATATGCATGAACATGTTATCCTACATTACTTACATACTTCCTACCATCACCCTCAACGGGCATGGTGGAACACACAAGGGGGTCAAGCCCCAGTACCAAGAGGTTACCTGTATAATCCTCTCCACGTAGCTCCAATGCACTATATATTCCGAGCTCGTTACGCAACCGAAATGCCTACACAGAGGACATTCCCAATCAACTCCCATTCAACAATTAAATGTCAATTCTCAAGCATAAATGCATGATTTGAAATACTCACCACAATCCCTTTGGTTCGGGACTAAGGGCAACCCTCCGAGCTCACGGTTCGGGACTCAAATCCACGTACGGCAACCTACAACGACCATATACGGATCGTCAGAACACGGCAATTCTATCAAAATACAAAAACGTCAAAATCCTCCCCCACACCTAGGTAGGTTCGGCCATTATAGTGTTTTTACAATTTATTTTTCTAAATTTTCTTTTCATTTTTCTTAGGCACCCCAAGGTTACCAAAAGGCCATTTTAGGTGCCAATTTGCATCCTACATCATTCAAACATCATTTTGCCTAATAATTTGCTCTAGGTCCAATTCCACAATTTCACACTATCCAATATTTTTTCATTGATTTTCCAACCTTCCAACCATCACACAACCCTTCTAATTACCATACAATACACAACACACCATCCAAATAATTTTACATCTCATTCCTCTCTTTTCTTCTCTTGGCCGAAATCATCATAGGTGCACTCCAAGGAATCTTCAATCCAATTCAATTATTCCACACCTCATACAATCCTATTATAACATCATACAACCATACAACAATCCAATTTCACAATCCTAACGACAATCCAAAACACAAAGTCATGGCATCATCCAAAATTTCCCAAGTTAAAATCACATTTTCACTAATAATTTTTATTGCATTTATAGCTCTAACACATCATTCTAAGACATAATCATCTAATACACATTTTCCATTTGAGCTCTCTAACTACACAAATCATACACAGAGCTTAGGGTTCATAAACTAAAATCAACAATCCAACCATTCAAATGTGATGAAACTTACTCAAAAGGTAGGTATAGGGCTCCTCCACATCATACTAAACCATTGGAGCTCCAATCAACTCCATGAGCACAAATCTACAACACTTGGCCGCGGCTTTTGGGAGGGTTTTTCTCAAAATATAGAGGGATTCAAGGCTTAAGACTACTACCAATGTGTTTAGAAGGTTGTTTCCAACAAATTTCAAGTCAAAAATCTCTTGATTTGGTGTCTAAATGACTAAGTTAAGAGAGGAAGAAAATTGGAAGTGAAATGGGGTCTTTGGGAGGGAGGGCCGCAGGGTTCAAGAAGGGTGAGGGGAAAGTGATGAATGAATAGTGACATGTGCTTATGTGTCTTAAGTGGTTTAAGTGAGGTGGGCCCCACCGCCACCTCACGCAATTTCAAACTAACTTGAATTTCCCTCCGATTCCACTAAACGTCCATAAATTCACAACCTATTTAGAAACTCTAATTTTTAACATTAACCATTGTCTTTTAATTACCCTTGATTAGATGAATCCTGAGTTTTCCGGTCGTTCGGAGAAAATGCTATTTTATACTGTTACGCTTGCCGTAGGCACGCTTCCCCAAACTTACTAATTTCTGTCAAATTTCATCAGAAATCATATTTCCTAGTTCTATAAACCATTTATAACTTGTATTCAAAACCTAGAGCTCAAAACTCAATCGGCACGTTTTACGGTGCGTTTTACCGCGGTATTTTTACCCGGTAAAACCACTATTCACTGAATTTTCTGAAACTTGCCTATCCACTCAATTTTTTCGTTCTGAATCCATTTCCAGGGTTATTTTCATCATTTGAGACCTTCTACTCAATTTTACTTTCCTAGGGTTGTGTGTTTGGCTCATGGTTGTTGAATCGCAATAGTATCGTGAATCGTTCGGCTGATTTTTTGTATCGTGAATCGTATCGAATCGTAAGATTCAGAAACAAATTAAAAATAACTTCAAAATATATAATATCATATAAATCCAAATTAAAAAAAAATCTAAATACCAAAATCCATAAGTAACCAAATCTAAAACCAGTTATTTTTCATATTCATTAAATTTCAAGACTAATATTATCACTACTATCACTATCAGGATCTAGTATTGGCATATCTAGTCCTTCATCCTCTCCATTAGTAGAGTCATCTGACTCATCTCCCATATCTTGTTCAATAATTTGAGATCCTTTTCTGTTATCATTCCTGTTGACATCCTCTTGTATCTTATGCCTTTGCCTTTATCATTCCTATCATCTTGAAGATTTCGAGGACCTAAAAAAAAAATATACATAATGTAAATAAATATATTAGATAAAGTGTTTGATTAAAAGAAATATTATATATGCAAATATACCTCTCTTTCTCTTTTTGCTTTGGTCTCCTTCATCAACGTTGAAGCACTCATGAACATCCATCCAAGATTCCTCATCCATTAGGCAAGGCTCCTCTTGCTCAGTAATCCATTCCTCGTCAGAATCTAAATCTGATAAGCAGATAGGATCATATGTGTCTCCTTTTTCCTCCCTTTGTTTTTGCCTAATTTCAAGTTGAAGGTTGTATTTAACAAACACAAGAGCATTCAACCTTTGTTGCTCTAAACGGTTTCTTCTCTTAGAGTGAATTTGATCAAACACACTCCAATTTCTCTCGCACCTTGTAGCACTGCAAGTAAGGCTTAGGATACGAATAGCTATTGTTTGCAGCTCTTTGCAGTCGTCTCCAAAACTATTCCACCATAAAGCTAGCAAAAAATATATATAATTGATAAATACATATTTGGTTAATGATTTAATTTTTAATTTTAAAAATATCAAAACATAATTTAATCAATACACAAAATTCGATGATTACCAGTTTGCTTCCTAGCTCTAGTTGCAATTGCTAAACTATTTCCAAAGAGTCCTTCAGCCCTGTCAAATTTCTCAATTTGGGAATCAATTGTGATCTTTGTTTCAATATCAGGACACATCTTCTCCAATGTCTTCCACAAGCCAGTTTTAACCTCACGATCTGGGTTGAACTTTGTGTCATAGTGGAACCTATATAATTATTATAAATTTAGAATAAGGCTTAATAATAAATCAAATATAAAATATAAAGAATTTTATATAAATAAATTTTATAAAAAAAAAATACTTACTTTGGATTAAGAAAATAGGCGGCTGCATGAAGAGGCCTATGAAGTTGTAAATCCCAACGCTTGTCAATGATTTCCCATACATCCTTATATCTCTTTTCCTCATGATTAAAACTCTCTGCTATTTCTTCCTTTGCTCTATCCATAGCCTCATAAATGTATCCCATTGCAGGTTTTGAATCACCATCTACAAGTCTAAGAACTTTCACAAGAGGAGACACAATTTTCAAGCAATAATGTATTGATTTCCAAAACCTTTTATCAGCCAAAACAACATTTTCTGCAAATTTGGCTTCCGGCCTAGAGCAATAAGCACTATTAACCCATTTTTCAGATGTAAACATAGATCGAAGTGCAGTCTTTTGTTTCAAAATTGACTGCATTGTCAAATATGATGTAGCAAACCTTGTTATTGCAGGCCTAGCTAACTCTCTACCTTTGGAAAAGGTTCTATACAAATTCAACACCCATGTGTGCCTATAAATGAAAGTTGTAATTTTTTTTACTTTCCAAATGGTATTATAGAACACTGTAATGCCACCAATATCTTCCAAAATCAAATCAAGACAGTGGGCTGCACAGGGTGACCAAAAGAGTTGCTTTCTTTTATCCATCAACTTTTGTCCAGCAGATACAAGGGCTGAAGCACTATCTGTCACTACTTGAACGACATTCTCTTCTCCAATTTCCATCACCATCTCATCAAGTAATTCAAACATTTTTTCAGCATCTTTAATAAAGCTGCTTGTATCAACAGATTTTATAAAAACAGTCCCTCTAAGACTATTAATAAGAAAATTAGTAAGAGATCTACCCTTTCCATCAGTCCATCCATCTGACATCAATGTACAACCAGTTTTCTTCCATTCCAACTTATATTTATCCAAACTAGTATGGACAAGATCAACTTCTTTCTTCAAATATCACACCCTCACTTCATGATAAGTTGGTGGTTTTAAGCCTCTACCATATTCACTAATAGACTTCACCATATTAATAAATAGTGGACTCTTAACTAAATTAAATGGCAATGCATTGCCATATATGCATCTACAAATATCTCGAACCACCAAATCTCTATCCTTCACCATTGAATTTATAGTTTGTTGTTTCATAGCAGATGAGCCTCTTCCACTTTTTCCTTTTATCATAAAACTATCCATGCTCCATTTTTTTTGTGAATCTTTATCATCGAAGCACTCTAGTTCATCATCATCTCTTGCATCCTCTAATATTTTTTTAAATAGATCCCTTATCTCTTCCGGCACTTGTTGCCATGGAGCAACTTCTTTGTGTGTTCCAGCTAGATGGTGCTTCATTCTAAATGCTCCTCCCCACATTGTTTTGGGACAATAGTTACATTCAACATTCAACCTATTCCCTAGGGATTTACAATGATCCCAAGTTATATACTTCTGTTTTTGGGATTTCTTCTTTGGAGCCATTTTTATTATTTCTGTTACTGTAAAAGAGAGAAAAAAAATATAATGTATTTAAATTGAGAACGACTTCAACACTGCAGCTTTTTCATAATATTATAATAATATAATGTATTCCTCTGATCCTCTCATACATTTTCAATTCAGCTGAATCATCACTATAATATTTTAATATATTTACAATTTACAAATTCCAATCACAAATCAAATCACCCATTTCAAAAATAGTACCCGTACTCCTTTGCCTTTTGTGAGTTTTCTTCTACACGCTCTCTGAATCTACTCTGCCTTTTGTGAGTCTTCTTCTACACGCTCTCTGAATCTACTCCTCTGCAAGTCTTCTTCTACACAGAGTTTGCAAGTCTTCTTGAGCGCTACTCTTTGGAAATTTCTGCAAGGCGTTTTCTCCTCTGCAAGTCTCTCCTTCTGTTTCGTTGCTTCTTATAAGTCACTGCAAGTCGTCTCTGTTCGCACCTCTCTGCAAGTAGGCTTCTGTTTTGTTGCTTTCGCACCTCTCTGCAAGTCGTCTCTCCTTCTGTATCGTTTTTTATTTTTTTGTCTTTGTTGTTCTCTTTCTGTTTCTCAGTTTGCACCTTCGCACCTTTCTGTTCTTGACTTCTTGTTTCCTTTTGTTTTTTAAATGGGATTTTGAATCCCTGATTTTTCTGAAGCAAACAACCTTTCAGATAACAACATGCCGTTCCAAATCCTGCGACTGTTGAGTGTTTTTTTTTAAATTTTTTTTATATTTTGAATCGCAAAAAAATTTCGATTCACGATTCACAACCGAATCGTTCGATTCCACGATTCATGCCAAAAACGATTTGCTATTGCTATTCGTATCGATTTGCTATTGCAATTCGTATCGATTTGCCACTGTATCGTATCGTATCGCACGATACGTATCGCGTATCGTGCGATACTAACAACCATGGTTTGGCTATTTACCGTTTTACCCTTTCTTTGTATTTTAGCCAAATTTCCAGGATTTTCACTAATCCATTCCTTTAATCCTCATTTAATATATTAATACGTGATTTAGAAATGTGAGGTGTTATAACCTGCATATGAATAAGAAGGGTACGAGCAGTTTCAATGAGATGTCTGTTTTTACGTTCAGCCACCCCATTTTGTTGTGGAGTGAGGACAAGTAGTTTGATGTAAAGTACCTTGTGTAGCCAAGAAATTAGAATAATCAATAGAAACATATTCCTTAGCATTATCACTATGTAGAATACGAATAGAAACACCAAATTGAGTATGACTCAATTGAAAACTTTTTATAAATGGAAAATAACTCAGAACGATTTTTCATTAAATAGATCCAAGTGCAACAGGAAAAATCATCAATAAAGGTAACGAAATACCGAAAACCTAAAACAGACAAGGTACGACTTGGACCCCAGATATCTGAATGAACAAGAGAGAAAGGGACATCAACTCGTTTATTGACTCGATTGGCAAAAGAGGAGCGTGTATGCTTCCCTTGTTGACATGACACACAATCTAAAGATTGAAGACCGGATAAAAGAGGAACCATCTTCTGCAACTTGGAAAGACTTGGATGACTGAGGCGACTATGGATAAGTTGTGGAGATTCTGTGAGAGAGCATGCCATTGAAGGACGAGGCACATCCAGATAGTAAAGTCCCCGTGACTCACGACCCACTCCAATCATCTTCCTCGTACTCGGATCCTGCACAGAAACAGAATGGTTAGAGAAAGTAATGGTGCAAGTGAGGGAGTGGATCAATTTACTAATAGAAATTAAGTTATAAGGGATGCCAGGAATGTAATAAACGGATGTCAAGGCCAAGGTAGAGGTCGGACGAGCTTGTCCAATCCCACGAACTGGGACTTTGGTTCCATCAGCAAGGGTAAAAGAAGGTAAATGATCAGAATAAGTAAGAGATGTAAAAAGTTCCGTATTACCACAGAGATGATCGGTAGTACCTGAGTCAAATATCCAAGTGCCAAGTGATGTAGAATGAGAAACACAAGCAACGGGATTACCAGTATATGGAGCGGAGGGCTGAGACTGAGGAGAAGCCTTCTTGAGAAGAGTTTGGAGTGCAGCATAGTCCGCAGGTGAGAGAGAAACTGAACCAAATGATGTATTGTCTGACTGAGCTATATTTGCAGCAAGAGAGGTGGCCCAATTCTTGTAGTTGTCAGAATCCTTCAGTTTGGAAGATGTAATGGGCCCAATATTAGTAGAGATGATTCCTGAGGAAGTTTTGGCAGGAGGAGAAGGAGAGTTAACCTCCGAGAGATCAGGGGACGATGCTGCCATTTAAAGACAAAATATAAAAGTCGTAAACGAAGGAAAACGATATCCAATCAAGGAGAACCACACGTCTAAAGTGAGACCCACAAAGAACCAAGCACAGATCCGGAAAGAGGAGGAAAAATCGAGCTAGTCTGTCCAGGAACGACTGGAAAAAGACGCTGGAACAGTGCACACGCGCCAGTGAAGGGTGGCACGTGAGAACCACGCGCAGGTAGAAGGAGCGGTGCATGAGAGCGCGTGGGGACTCCTCTGATGATGGGCCTTCCACAAACTTTGTCGCCGAAGAGAGAGGGCTCTGATCGCAGGCTCTCCGGTGGAAATCGACGCCGGAACAATGCTCCGGTGGCCTGAACAGTGACGAACGGTGGTTGTTGGCAGCGGGCAGTGGTTCTGACAGTTGAAGAAACAAGCCGGAGAGACACACAGCTTAGAGAACCTGCCGGAGGGACACACGGTTGATGAAAAACTTGCCGGAAGAATGCACGGCAAAGTAGAAGAGAACACTTAAGCAGTGGGCTTAGGGTTTTAGCGGAAGTGGATCCCTAGAGCGAAAAAGATCTGATATCAACTTTAGATTAAAGAATAATTGTATATTGAAGAATCATAGTATGTTACAATGTACAAGAGCTCTCTATTTAAAGAGACTAAAAGACCCAATGGGCTGAGCTCATAAGATGTGGGACTATATATATACTGAACTATTCTTACAACTATTCTAACAGTTACAAATATATTCAACTATTTTACTCTAATAAGAGGAACCATATTCTGCAATTTTGAAGGACTTGGATGACCAAGAAGACTGTGGATACGTTGTGGAGATTATGTAAGAGAGCATGCCACCGAAGGAGGAGGCACAACGAGATAATAAAGACCCCGTGACTCACGACCACTCCAATCGTCTTCCCCGTACCCAGATCCTGCATAGAAACAAAATGGTTAGTGAAGGTAATAATCTAAGTAAGGGAGTGAACCAATTTACTAACAGAAATTAAGTCATAAGGGATGGTAGGAATGTAATAGACAGATGTCATGGTCAAAGAAGAGGTCGGACGAGTTTGTCCAATCCTACGAACAGGGGCTTTTGTGCCATCAACAAAGGTAAAGGAAGGTATATGATCAGAATAAGTAAGAGATGCAGAACTTACACTGTAACATATAAGGAGCATAGTATTCATAAATATTAATTTAAGTATTCGATATCTATATCTCAAATTCTACATATTTGAAAGTAGAGAGAGTACGTAGGAATTGTGTCTAATGAGACCATGCAAACATCTTTATATTATTTTATTAATATTTGCAATTCTAGTTAGAAGAGTAATCGGCTCCTTAATTAGATGTTGAATTGACTGTATAATTTTAAGCAAATATCTAATATAAGGCAACCTGGTGCTATAAAGCTCCCACTTGGGATAGGGTCTAAGGATGGGTCTATAGTAAGCAGCCTTGGTTTACATTTGCAAGAAGCTCATTACATGATTTGAACTTGTAACTTCTGGGTTACATGGTGACAACATCTACTCTTGGCCAAGGCTCCCCTTCTTAGGCAAATAACTAATATATTTTCTAAAAATGATAATTTACATATGACATTTCTGAGTTCAATAATTACTTCCATAGTGCATTTTTGCTTGGAGCTGGTGGGAAGTTTGGGCGTGCCCATTACGTTTGTGGATTTCTGGTACAATGCATCAGAAGGTGGAGACGTGCTATACTTTATATAGTCTATTATATCACTTGAGCATGCAACAGAGGTCCCACTCTCTCCCAATCCCCAAAAAGGGCCCATTCCATACTCAGATTCCAGAATGCCTCCCATGCTCTCTTCACTGTGCTTATAACTAACTCCAATCTGCCTCCATGCACACACCATTCTGTTAGGGGTTATTTTGGGAAACCTCTGTCTGACGTGGCAATAACTGTGGATCATTTGCTTGGGCCATTTGGGCTTCAGTCCACACCTTCCTATTTTTATCTCTCTTGTATTGCTTGATTGGGATTGCATCATATATTCAAAGAATATCCCTTTGGATATTCAGAGTAGGGGCTGGGCTTTGTTTTGCTTTGCTTTGTCTTTATTTTATTTTTTTCCTCCCCCCCTCATTTTTTATTGTCATGAAATTCTCACCCCCTCTTGCCTTTTCTTTTTACATAAGAGAAACATATAGCTGCTGTCCTGTTATCACTCATCGTATAAGAAATAACGCCTATTGTTCTACTGCACTTTCTATCATAGAAAAAAATGCCGAAAGAAATATAGTTGAGGCAAGAAAGGGTATGTTAATACGTTTTTTTATTTATTTCAGGTTGAGTTTGTTGGAGGTCCTATGTGTTGGAATACCCGCATTTTCTCTGCAACCGCTGGTGAAAGAAATTTTTATTCTAACTTCCATGGACCCCTGAAAGAAAAATAAAAAGGATTTAGTAAACTTGTTTACTCTTATTACAAATTAAATTTATCATTAATTTTATAGATTTCTACACCAATCTTGTTCTTTTACCTGCTAGGTGGTGGAGCATTCTGCAATGGCCAAAAGATCCAAGTGAGTGCAACTGATCAGGTGATTAACGACAAAATGATACCTTAGAATACAAAAAGTGAACAACAATCCTTGATAATTATGATTTAAGTTTTATTATGGAACAATCTGAATATTATGTGTTACAAAGCAATCTCGAAATATTATGGGCTGAATAGGCAATTTTTTTTTATTAAATAATATAATTCAAAAATTATTTATCAAAGTGACACAGTTTGATATCTTTTGACCACACTGCCCGACAAACGTAACAAGTGATATCATAATGATTGAGTATGATTTAGTTTGTGGGGCCCACATGGTTAAAAGTAGTTAAATTATATCACTTTGGTAAATAGTTTTCAAAATGTATTATTTGAATAATTTTTTGTTAAGGAAAATGAAGAGGAGATATTGTCTTCTAGAGTCAAGAAAGTGCAAGATTTCAATAGTAGTGATAAAACACGTTTGTGGGCAACGTAGATCAAATCAACCAAGTTCCAAGGCAGAGATGAAGTGGTGTCAGAGTCAGGAAAGTCTTTTTCTGCCACGGGTGATTATGACCCAAAACTAGAACACAAAACAGTCACATAAGCCAAAGGGAGAGGTGCTTGCGGCCGAGAATATAATGGAGAAGACCCAAATAGGTTCATTCATGGTGAAACATTGAGTTATGATGTTGTTGAAACCAACAAGCTCAAATGTTGTGTAAGAAAAGCTTTGCACCACCAAATGCCGACCTCCATGCTCGAGTATCTTGCACAACTCAAGAGATGCAATAGCAAATTGAAGCAGGTCATCAAGGTCAAACCCAATGGGTCTAACCGTTAAGATACAAGGCTAGACATCTTCGGGCTACAATTTTTAGGAAGGGCCCCACAAATTGAGCATACAACCACATTGCACCCGACGCTGAAGGTTAGGTAGAGCAGCCATTTCCATCGTGCAAAAGACGAATTGAGCAACTTACACATCATGCGCACCTGCAAGGAAGGCCATTGTACCTGATTATTGACGTGGTCTATGTTGCATTGACACGCGACACGGGACACGATACGACACGCCGACATGTTAATTCTAAAAAATGTTAAACTTCGACACGTTAGGACATGATTTGATATTAAATAATATTTTTAATATATATAATGTAGTTTACATTTAATACATATAAAAACTCATAATAAGTCATATAATCAATCAAATATTCAAATTTCATAACATAAATATAAAGCAAAAGTAATTTTTTATGCCTTGTTAATTTTTCATGTCAAATTTCGTAACAGAAAATATTTGATTTATAAATTAATTTTTTATATTTAGTTAAAAAGATAAAATAAAATAAAATTTGGATTTGTATGAATGTTGACCGCATGTCGAAAAACGTTGACTACGTGTCGGAAGTATGTTGGAACATGTCGGTAAACGTTAACTCCGTATCGGAAAATGTTGACTGCATGTCGGCGTGTCCTAAAATATTGACCACGTGTCGGAGCCTGTCGGTGTCCGACACGGTTTTTTTTCCCAATCTGCGTGTCTGTGCTTCTAAGGATGTGGTAACAACACAGTCCTTCTCAACGAGTGCTTCCTAAGGTACGAGATGGTTAAATTTGAGCAAATGCCTCAAACACAACTAGTTTGCAATATTTGTAGTTCAAAGAATGTCAATGACAATGGTGGATTTGAAGCCATATGGGACTTATCGTTAGATGGGGTCAAGAACAAAGAAACGAGTTGGGGGAGCCTGTTGTACACAAGGCAATACCATTTTCGCTATGTGTTGGGGCATCATGAGTGGGATTTAACAGGGCAATACCATTTTCACTATGTATAAGGAAACTAGAGTGCCAGAGGGTTCTTGTATTAGATCCTTTGAATTCTACATATGGTTCATCATAAGTTGAAGCCTAACAATTTATTGATTGCATATGATGGTCACAATAAGTTAACACAATTTGGGCTCTCAAAAGTTAGTGCAACACTCCGTTTTGAACCGGCTTGTTATCATACATTATGGTATTAAGCGCAACATATTTAATTATTAAGGCGGAAGCTATATGATAAGTATCACAACTACAACTATGTAAACATGTGAATAAACTTTTTCCTTTTTCTTTTCCTATGTATTGCGTTGTATTCATTTCATCTCACTCTTATCCTAAGTGATTGCCTTTTTCATTAGAACATCTTTTATGCTCAAAACTTGAAACCTTATCCATTAATCATAGCCATGACGCTTTCGACCTTTGAATCTCAAATGATGGTAGTTAACTACACACATGTGGTAATCTCCTACCATCATTGGTCAAACGAAACGAACATCTCGTCTGTATTTCGGACAATTGGGGATAATTCTCGCTATGATAATTTGAACGTGATTGGCAATTGAATATTTTCCATGCATAACTCAATATGTCCACTAGTCTAAGTGTCTGTTTGGATCCTCTCTTTTTTAAGCTATGCAAAGAACCAATTCAACCCAAAAGCTTAAGCTGTTGGGTGAGGCTACATTAATGGTTTTTTGTATATCTCAACACGCCCCCTCACACGAGAGCCCACTGGGCTTGAAGGGTGGACAATGCACAAGCCCACCTATCTGTGCGAATAAAGAAATTCCACTTGAAAGAAAGTGGAGGGCGGTGAGGATCGAACCCGGGACACGTGGCTCTGATACCAAATTAGAATGTATGAATGTATTGTATTCAATTGTGTATAAAACTGTACAAGAGTCCTCTATTTAAAGAGGTTAAATAACCTAATGGGCTAAGCCCAAATAACCTTCTAGAATAATAAACTAATAATAATAAAACTAATATTATTTCTAACACTCCCCCTCAAGCTAGTGCGTATATATCATAAGCACCCAGCTTGTTACATATATGATCTATTCGGGGACCTCTAAGAGCCTTGGTGAAAACATCTGCAAGTTGATCACTGGAATTGACAAATGCAGTCTCGATCTCGCCTGACTGAATCTTCTCTCTAACAAAGTGACAGTCAATTTCTATATGTTTAGTCCTCTCATGAAAGATTGGGTTAGAGGATATGTGCAATGCGGCTTGATTGTCACAAATGAGTTTCATGGGCCGTTGTTCACAGAGATGTAATTCCTTAAGCAATTGCTTTAGATGAGCTCACAGGTCGCATTTCCCATGGCCCAATATTCTGCCTCTGCACTTGATCTTGCAACCACAGTTTGCTTCTTACTCTTCCAAGAGATCAAATTTCCTCCTAGGAGAACACAATACCCGGAGGTGGATCGTCTGTCTGAAGGAGAACCTGCCCAGTCAGCATCTGAATAGCTAGACACTTATGCATTCCCCTTATTAGTGTATAATAAACCTCTTCCTGGTGCCTTTTTGATATATCGAAGAATCCTGATAACTGCATCCCAATGAGAGTCACAAGGAGAGTCAAGGAATTGACTTGCCACACTAACTGAAAAAGAGATGTCTAGTCTTGTCACAGTAAGATAGTTCAACTTTCCAACTAGTCGGCGGTAGACCAGGGTCTGCCAATGGCTCTCCCTGTCCAGGTAATAACTTAATATTAGGATCCATAGGTGTATCAATGGGTTTACATCCCAACATACCAGTCTCATCTAAGATATCTAGTGCATACTTCCTCTGACAAATGGAAATGCCCTTCCTAGACTGTGCTACTTCGATTCCTAAGAAATATTGAAGTTTGTCAAGATCTTTGGTCTGAAACTGATTGAATAAGTACTTCTTTAACTAATCAATCCAGCGTGATCGCTGCCAGTAATAATGATGTCATCAACATAGACCAGGAGATAGATGCACTGGCCAGAAGAGCTATGCCGATAGAAGACAGAATGATCCGCTTTACTTCGGGTTAAACCGAAGGATTGAACAGCGGAACTGAAGCGACTAAACCAGGCCCGAGGAGATTGCTTCAGGCCATATAAAGATTTACGAAGCTTGCATACCATGCCAGAACTCTCCCCCTGAGCAACAAAACCTAGTGGTTGCTCCATATATACTTCCTCTTGCAAGTCACCATGTAAGAATGCATTTTTGATATCAAGTTGTAGAAGAGGCTATTGAATGGCAGCAAGTGCAAGAAATAGGCGAACAGATGCCATCTTGGCAACAGGAGAAAAAGTATCCCCATAGTCAAGACCAAATATCTGAGTGTATCCCTTGGCCACCAAACAAGCTTTGAGGCGATGAACAATGCCATCAGGACCAACTTTGACAGTGAATACCCATCGACAACCGACAACTTACTTTCCAGGAGTAGCATGAACAAGATCCCATGTGCCATTGGAGTGAAGTACTTGCATTTCATCAATCATTACTTGACGCCAACTCGGATGAGAGAGTGCTTCACCTGTAGTTTTAGGAATAGAAATAGACGAAATACTAGAAACAAAAGTAAAATGTGGTGAAGAAAGTCTATCGTAACTCAAGAAACTATAAAGTGGATGAGGGTTACAAGTGGATCGAATACCTTTGCGAAGAAGGGCAATGGGAGTAATCTCTGATGGAGGATCCGGAGGGGAAGAGTCAACAGCAGCAGACGGTGAGTCAGTGAGGGTCAAATCTGCTGGAGGGCACAGGCTGACGACGCTGATAGGTGATGAAAGGACGGTCCTCAGGGATGGATGCAAGGGGCCGCTCCTCCGGGATAGAGTCTCCTACAACTGGTAAAGACAAATCAAGACAAGGAACAGGAAGAACTTGATCAACTTGTGTTATCTGAGATAGGATAGAATGAAAAGGTTGTTGATCAAGGAAAGTGACATCAGCCGAGACAATATAACGCTTGAGATCAGGAGAGTAGCAACGATACCCCTTTTGAAAACGAGTATATCCAAGGAAAATACACTTGAAGGCTTTGGATGTTAATTTATCTTTTGCTGGACTAAGATCATGAACAAAGCAGGTACATCCAAATATATGTGGAGGTAGAGGATAGGAAAGTGCTCCTGGAAATAAAACACTATGTGGAACTTCGTTATTGAGTACGGAAGAGGGCATGCGATTGATGAGAAAGCAAGAGGTGAGTATAACATCTGCCCA